AGCCCCGGAGAAGCAAGCCTGGGTGGATGTTCTCGTTAATCCAAGAGAAGAAAAACAGCTTTTTTTTGAAATATGTCTTTGAGATAAGAAACGAGACTTATAGAGCAAAAAACCTCCATCTGAGACAGATGTGATTGATACACAGATGTGAATCCTATATGTACATAAAGGCTCATACATGCAACCCCAAAGTCTGCACAGTGAATGATTAGAGATGCAGTTTTGGGGGGAAATCTTATCACCTTTATCTCCTTACAAGAAATTACAGTCGATAGATCAGTGTACAGTAAACACGCCAGCACCTTGTTAGCTTCCTACAAAGTCTAGTCCTATCCAAAGGTAACAATCTACCTGGCATTGCCCTCATGGTCAACAAATTACCTGGCCTATAAAACCCCCCCTCAGAATCTTTAGTTTTCATACAGATTAAACAACCAAGATATACAGCTCGTGCCAATTAGTGAACTTTGAAGGCGCTTGTTGGCTTATTTTGTTCCCGTTGGACGGAGCCAGGCTGCTTCCTCTGTCTCCGGTCGCTGTGCCAAGCTAAGCTTACTGACGGCTGTTGGCAGTGGCCTCATATCTATCGATTGAACTTCTCCTCTAATTCTTGGCAACAACATGAATAAGCATATAACCTTTAAACCCCAAACTCTAATCCTCCACCCTGCATAACTTCAACATTAAGCGGAACAATTATCATAGTCATTTAAATGTTGTCCAGATTGATGGATACGTGTCCAACTTTACCACAGCTGACATTCTGCCTCCTATAGGTATGTCATCCATCCATTATCTATACACCGCTTAATCCTCACTAAGGTCGCAGGGGGGCTGGAGTCTATCCCAGCTGCCTTAGGGTGAAGGCAGGGGACACCTGGACAGGTAACCAGTCTATCACAGGGCTACACTTAGAGACAGACAACCAAGCACACTCACATTCACACCTACGGACAATTTAGAATCACCAATTAACCTCGGCATGTTTTTTGGACCTTGTGGGAGGAAGCCGGAGAACCCGGAGAGAACCCACGCTGCACGGGGAGAACATGGAGACTCCACGCAGAAAGATTCCAGGACACGAACTGGCGACCTTCTTGCTGCGAGGCAACAGTGCTAACCAACTGCGCCCATAGGTATGTAATTGTTGGTTTATTTTACAGCCCCTACCCCCCTCTGGTCATTATTTAAACACCTAAAAACCTCATCTCTATGCATCACAATTACATATTTAAGATTTTTCTTGGTGAAAAACATCCCATCATGCCTCAGGAATGCACAAATGTATGAAGCCCCAGCCTCTTTCTCTGCACACGGTTAACCTACACGCTGCTCACATACTGCCAAGCTACTCTATGCTACACAATGGCAAGTGGTAATATTTGAATAATTAAGTCATACATGCTCTCAGGCGAATCATTTGCATATTCCCGCACACTGTAAATTACTTTTATTACTTACAATCCCTTGAATTTGCTACACTTGCTTCTTTATTTGTCTTGTAACTCTTGCTCTCTACTGACTTGTAACATTTGCTTTTTTTAAAAAAATCTAATTATCTTTCTCTAAAAAAAAGGTTCTCACTTGTCAGCGTTTAATGTTGTGAACAAAACCACCAAATTCCTCATATGTGGAGACCTATTTGGGCCTAAAACCGATTCTCATTCTCGCTCTAGTTGAACCGGAAACCGATTCTGAAGAAGAATAAAGATTCAGAAAGTCCTACATGACATGTAAAACCCAGTAAATCTGATTTTTGTGTTTTTTAGGCTGCGTATTTTGCTCTTGGTGTGTCTTCAGTACATAACAAAGCACTGTACGGGCTTGTCAAAGTGCAAAAAGGCTTGATTTTAACCAGAGGTAGTCTTTATAACCATGATCGCGGTCTTTCCTAAACTTTATCCAAGTAGCTGTAGTCGCCTAAATGCAACCGAATCCCAAACGAAGAAAAGGGTGGATCAGAAAACACTCATTTGAATCTAACTGGAACATCTGCTTGAAACCATTTTACTGTTTCGATATGAATCCTCCCATAATCCTCAGAGACTTTGCAGCATGTTCTGCTCCTATGTGGACATGTGCTCCTATTAGCCACACACGAGAACACAAACTTCTTTCTTTCTTCATCTTTTTTTTTTACCTGCAGGCGAGCGATCACTTGTGCAGGTGCTCTGCTTTCCCCTCTATGAATAAAGGGACCTTGGCTGTCCCTATTGAAAAGCTGATTCCTCCTCATTGAATAGGAAGCCCTTGTACTTACATCGCTCTGTCTACCGCACTGATTGTGTACTAATGGCAACATCAGTCCCCATCTGGTGTCCATCATTGGGATTCAGGGCAGGGCCCGTCCCAGCAGATACATCCGATTAGTCCATCTCATCGATTTGTGCTGGCTCGTCATGACTTAGTCAACCCAAGGTGTCTCTTCTATGACATGCTGTCTCCTTGTGATTTAGTTTGCCAACACTCTAAGTGCATTGAGTGTGACAATAAAATCTTTAATCTAATATGCATCCTAAAGAGGGAAGTGGTGGAGAATAAAGAGGGAGGGAGGGAGACGGAGGAGGGAGGTAATGTTCTCGATGAGCTCGGATGTAATGAGAAAGGTTTGTGTCAAGTTTATTGATACGTACAGGATACAGATCCTCAGGTTTCCAACGCTACACTCGGCTTTTAATCCCGACCGATGCTACAGGTGCAACATGTGACATTAAAAGGTTCGTCAATCAGTCTTCTCAGGTGTCAGATGACAACTATACACTCTTATATGGAATACATCTGCTGTAAGGAGAACTCTGATTATCATCCTCCAAAATAGATTTTTTTTTTTTTTTGCATCTCCAGCTCCAAAGAGGCAAAATCCTATTTTCTCCTCATACGTATCCCAACCTAATCTGCGTTTGCAGTTTGAAGCATATGATAGCGTGAGTGGGGTTACAGGGCACTATGCATGCACAGTGCTCTCAGTAATTCTAACTGACAAGGATCCCATTGCCTGGGCTTGTGAGAGAGCATCATATTTATGGCTGTGTGAGCTGTATATCAATGAGATTTGGAGCTACACTGTCTGAATAGATCATTACACAGATCTCCACTACACTGCTTGATCTACTGTATCCGAACGCCGCCGTGCATCTCTGTAAACAGACGTAGCATTAGGGAAATGGCGTGTCTTGTAATGCATAGTAATGCATTGTAAAAAAAAAAGTGGAGGGATGCTTTAGAGAAACTTGATGATAAAGGAGGATGATTCTAAAGGTGTCTTGAGAGCATATTTAATGTTTCCTTTTTTATGGTTTATGATATAAAAAGCAGGCCATTATACCTGAAAGGTGCCACTTTGTCTGTATCCAGTCAGTGGTTTAGTTTTATATCTCTTTTGATGTCAGGATATCTCATTAATAATAAAAGAGCTGCATCTAATGGAGGACGCAGCAGATTCCAAATCAGAAACTCTACACTTAATATTAATTAAAGTGCTTTTTTTGTTGTTTTTTTGCTGTTGTGACATACCTCGAATTGGTAGATGTTTTAAGAGAAGTCGTTCAAAAGGATCCTTATCATGCCCATAATTGCTTGTTGGCATAGCCGACCTGCCGCGTTGACACCAGACGTACGGAGCTCTTTTTAATGAGTCTTTATTGTGACGCAGTGTTTAATTGCCCACATGGCAAAAGAAGAAAAAGAAAGAAAAGACAAGGTATGACTCTCCCACCTACTCAGTCAGTAAGCCCTCTGGTTTCCCCCTGCTGTTACCCCGACTGTGTGGATGTACAGATTCTCAGGCTCCAAGCCAGACACTTGTCAATTTGGCCAGAATGACTTCTATATATCAGCGAGAAGCTCCTGATGAAACCAGTTATCCTTTATCAAAAAGGCATTACTAGAATTATGGCTGAAATCCAATTGGACAATAAAACCTCAAAGTTAGACAGTAGTTTTAATGGAGGACTATAAAGTAAAATACTTTCAGTGCATAGGATGTGAACGTACATAACAATGTGCAAAAGAGTTTGCACAACAACAACAACAACAAACACATCACTTGATGGTCCGTGATGGCGCTGTTTTCCTCCTCACTAATCAATCACACCGAAAAACCCCAAAAAAACAAAACCTGTGCTTTTTTGGAAAATAGAGTTCAAGCCATCTTTTGCGCCACTCTGCTGGAACATGTGAGGGAGAAAATGGGCCTGCATGAGAAGTAATCAACGCAGCCCACTATGATATTGACAGCAGGTTAAGAAAGGGACGGGGAAAGGAAAGCTCTGTTTCCATGCCGGAGAAAATGAAAGCAGCTGGGGGTATACGCTACAGTCAGACAACAAACATGCTTGTTATTAAGTGTTTTTTTTGTATTTTTGAGTTTGTGTATTTGTGGGAGAAAGACGGGACGCAGCAGGAGCGGAATGCAGTCATGGCTGTAAAGTGGGTGTGAAAACAGCCATGTTCACTGACCTCCTGGCTGACCTCCCCACCCCTCCTCCCCTGGTAGCTGATAGTGGTGTCCTCTCTCCTCGTGTGTGTGTTGCAAAAGAAAAAAAAATCTTGAGGGGGAAAAAAAAAGTGTGCACGTGATAACACTCAGCCGAGTCTGTGTGTTGGCATAGTGAGTGCAGCCATGAGTGCCCTCCTGTCAGGGTGCGGATGTGTGCTGATAGCTGTAAGTGAATGGCCCTGAGTTTACACTAGTCCAAGAGAAGAGGTCAAGAGGATTATCTTAAAATATTAGCTGCCCTCTTACCCTTTTCCTCTCTCCTCCTCCCCCTCCTCTCCTTTTTCTCTCCCCTCCTGTTTTCTTGCAGGGCACCTGTTGCACTCAGTAGACGTCTCAGCGTTTCACTGTATCAGATTTTCTCCACTTTACAAGAATAAAAATATTGATGCAGTGGGTTTGGCACTAATGTGTTTTTGCAGTCATTTGTATTGGTTGACAGACACATCGCTGAAAAGTGAGATTAGATAAAGACTGAAGAGGTAAAAAAAGAATCACTCAGCTCTTTAGAATCATTAAAAAAAAGATTTTATAATATTTTATGACACTTAGACTCTGCTCTACATGAAAAAACTTTTACAACACACAGATACATACCTAATGCAAGGATTAATCCACTTTACATTCCAAAATTAGGATTTTTTTATTTTATTTTTATTAATAAATCATGCCAACATGTCTATAAATTCACCCCAGAGGTCCTGCAAATGATACACCCTCTTCCCATCACATTTTTTTCGTTAGATACGTCCCTCCTGAACGCAGCCCGGCTCCTTACAGTCCTTCCTAAAGCTTCATAAATCCTCCCTGTTGAATATTTGTCTGATTAAATCGACGACAGACGCGGTTTCCAGGCGCTCTCGAACTTGAATCTGTCCCCCGGCTGAGTCAGCTACTGGCCACTGCGGGGCGTCTGGGCGCTGGAGCTGCGCCTTGAACCCCCTTCTCGGTCCGCAACAGGCTGCCCGCTATCTCATCCAGCGAGCCTGCTGCATGGCCATCATCTGTCAGCGCTGCGCTCTCACAACGGAGGAGACACCAGCAGCCGCTCAGTGCGCACGGACCTGTGGAGTAGATGTGACCTTTTTCTGGAGTTGAAATCACATGTAAGATAAAAAGAGCATTATTTTTAATAGTAATACTAAAATAATAATTGATATTATTAAAAACAAATGAGAGGAAAAGCCCAATCATGATCATATTCTCGTTTTTTTTTTTTGGTTTAATTTCTGCGATCATAAAAATGATTATTAGGTTAACGTCCATTATTACCTCAATATAGGCTTCCTTCTGTTATTTGGGGGAGGAAAAAAAAAAGTTAAATTACATTAAGAGAAAGTAACTGAGCCCATGATCTTCTTTGGTCCGCTGCGTCCGTTCGCATGTAATTAAACCGCACCGTGCGCACTTATCAGTCGGATCTGACAGCGGAGCATCTAAAAGCGGTCCCCGTCCTGCGCACCTCTCCCCCCCTCTGTCCCCTTCCAGCCTCTACCTTTCCTGTAATTGAATTAGCTCGCTTTTTAGGTGGAGGAGGGGGGGAGGGGCTTGGCTTTGTTCGAGTGACGCCCATTCAAATAATTCCAAACCAATGGGACTATCCCCCGCTCCGCCGTAACCAAACCCACTCTCTCAGTTGGCGTCTGGAGCTGCCTGCCTTTGCCTTGCCTTTGCCTTGCCTGCGCCCTCACCTTCCTGCGCGTCCCGGCGTTTTAAAAAACCACAAGAAAGGGGGTGAAAGACTTTACACGGCACGCACATGGGAGAGCGCAGCATTGTTCCTCTGCTTCTCTTTTTTTTTTTTTTTTTTTTTTTTACATTCCTGCACGATGGCTTATATATGAGGGAGGACACTTGGTGATGCGGACATAAACAAGCGTCTCCACGGACAGAGAGAGAGAGAGAGAGAGAGAAGCGCATGAGAAAACACAACGCCGTCTGTCCTCACCGACAACCGAGAAGGACTCCTCCCCGCCCGCCACGGCTGTGACACCACCGGTAAACCGCCGAGGACAAGGATAGCAGTCTGATTTTTTTTTTATTTCTTTATTTTTTCTTCTTCTAAACGCTGGAAACTCAACGTTGCCATTCATCCGCCACTGACTGACTGTATGGCTTTAAAAAGTTGCCTGGAAAACATGGACATCTGACGTGCGCCTCACAGCGTCATTGGACACATTGAGCCCCCCTCTCCTTTTTTTTTTTTTTTTTTTTTTTTTTTCTTTTAACTCCATCACATCTCGGGTTTACTAATCCCCCCTCTCTGCGCTTTCGGTTTGGAGTAAGAATAAGTGTTCAGCAGTTGTCATTTGCCCTGACACAGGCTACATCCAGCAGAGAGAGNTGGAAACTCAACGTTGCCATTCATCCGCCACTGACTGACTGTATGGCTTTAAAAAGTTGCCTGGAAAACATGGACATCTGACGTGCGCCTCACAGAGTCAAAGGACACAATGAGCCCCCCTGTCGTTATTTTTTTTTTTTTTTTTTTTTTTTTCTTCTCCTCCATCACATCTCGGGCTGACTAATCCCCCCTCTCTGCGCTTTCGGTTTGGAGTAAGAATAAGTGTTCAGCAGTTGTCATTTGCCCTGACACAGGCTACATCCAGCAGAGAGAGAGAGAAGGAAAAAAAAAAAGAGGGGCACCACTCTCAGTCCAGGAGAAGACGCTGCCTGTTGGTGCTGCGCATTTGTTGGGCTATGTGCTGATCTCACTGTTTGTGCGTTAGAGGGAGAGAGAGATATTTTGTCAGCCCACCACGGATTTGTCAGCGCTGACATCCTGCACGAAATAAAAAAAAAAAAAGAAAAAAAAACGCTCCATGATTCATCTGGACTCTCTCGCCCCGCATCCGAGAGAAAAAACACACACGGTGACGCGGTTGGTTTTGTAACTTCACCATAACCTGAACAAGTGTCATCTCCAAAAAAAAGTGTCACCCTCATCACGTCGCGCTTCTCCGCTCGCCTTTTCTATGTTTTGCATTCGCTGGGCATTCACCAAACTGCGCCAGAAACAAACGGCCACATGTGAATGAGACTGTCCCGGTTGAAGCGCCCCGTACAACTCGACTGACTGAACCGACTGCTTGAAGAGGAATACGTGCCGAAGTTTCGCTGTAGTGATGCTGCAATTGGAAATGGTCCTCTTCGTCTGCCTGGTGCTGTTGATGTGTGTATTTAGCCAGGAGCCCAGCTCCAAAGTAGTGGCCGACCGCTACGCCGTCTTCTGGAACCGGACCAACACCAAGTAAGTGGCCTCGCACCGGGCAGGTTTTCACCGCGTCTCCCCTTCTTCTGCTTCTTCCTCTGCGTGGCTCCGCAGGTTTGCTTGGACCACATCGGTGTTTATTCTCCGCAGTGAGGGCATAATGCCAGTTAGCCGCAGGTACAGGCAGTAGCTGAGGACAGGAGAAGGAATGTAAAAAAAGACTGCTGTGTTTTAATTTTCATACGTGGCTGCTGGTTGAACAGCGCGTCCCCCCCTCCGAGAACCGACGGATGAAAACCGTGCGTAATAAGGCCCGGACGCGTTGTTCTCGCTTCTGCTGTTGCATCGCTGTCAATACTGTCCACATAAGGTCAACAGCTTCATTGAGAATTACTCAGTTGCAGGTACAAGGACAAGAGCTGTAAAAAAAAGGCTGTAAAAACCTGGAACATTATCTCGTGTTGTTCGGTGGAACCAAGCTGAGTAGTTCCACGACCCCACTGCACCCATTAACACCAGAATGCAACCAGTCAGGCTCAACTCCTAAACAGGTCAGCACAAATCCGCCAAAGTCCATTTACCTACGAAATGTTTCCACTCTTTAGTGTATTGGCTTCATTCGGGGAAAAAAAAAAACAACTTCCCTGGTAGGCGCAGAGAACAGGCCGGATCAGACCTGCGTAGTGCGAGAAGGACAGCTTCTGTGCGTCGTTGTGTGTTTTTTCCGTGTTTGGAGTGTTTCACCTGCCATGCGACTCTGTTACCATATAGAATACTTGTAAATGTAAGAGCTTAATGTTGAAGGGAAATATTAAAGAGCACCATGGCGTAGTTCAGTCACTATAATGTCATTAACGATCTGAGCTCATCCAGAAGTGCCAACAGGAGAGCTTCGTTAATGTCACAGAGGCAGAAAAATGACATAAAATGACTCTTTAGCAACAAAAACAAACAGTAGGTTGTACCCAAATGGCATAATCAGATTATTTGTGTTAGATTTTAGTGTTTCTCAGGTTTTTTTTCCTCCTTTTGGCTGTTATTTTTTAAAACAGCCCTTTAATTACCTTTTAAATGAAGAAATGGTTCACTTGGAAATTGAGCAAAATTAATACAAATTTAAGTTTCTGTGTTTTTCAGTCAGTATTAAACAGTTTGTAGTTTTTTTTCTTTCTTTTTTAAAAATGCAGTGTAGTAATGTGGCATATCTGGACCCATTACATTAAAGCACACTGTGGTAAAGTGAAAAAAAGGCGTTTTTAAAGCTTTTAAAGAACAAATAACAGATTCATTCGCTTAAATTAAACCAACTAGTCGTGGAAACACAAAACCTAGTGTCTGTGGAGCAGAGAGAGGTTTCCCTCTTTACGTGGAGTGTTCAGTATGGACGCCTATCCTTTCAAAACTTTCTAAAACTTTCTGTAACAGCGTGCAGCTCCCTAAAATAGACAAAGTTTCCCTTAAATGTAAATGTACGTATTGTTTTTTTCATATTTTTCCATATTGGTTGCTCGCTCAGAAGTTTAGAGGCACAAAGTTCTGATGTAACGTCTCAAAATGTGTGTGTATGTACTCCAACAGTTTACTGTCAGTGTTGTCAGGAGCTGTAGGAATAAAAAGAGGTGGCTTTTCACTTTTATTATTTATTTAGAAAAATAAAGAATTAAATGTTGACTATTTTAGGATTTAGCAAACGTGTGTTTGTTAACTCAGTTAAAATAAAAGTTTCTCAGACGTGCTTCAGCCTCTCTGGCCGGGCAGCCTCGAGTCGACCTCAGTGTACGTCGTGCACGTTTTGTCCGAGGCAGCGTTTCCCACTAAAAGTCCCTCACGGAGCTGCACTGTGCCGCCTTGTCCCGGGCTTATTAAGTCTAAACGCTGCTGGTGGAGTTTACAGAGATCTTTCACTTAACTGCCAATGGCTCTTAGTATTTGTTGAATAAAATCCTCAGCTTACCCTCCCGAGTGCGCAAAAGCCATTAATAGCACACGCTGAATTTGTTGCACAACTATTTACATTCAGTTTGAAGTTTGGGAAAACATGATTTATTGCTTGAAACAATTAGTGGTCGGGAGTACAGAGCGGAGGGCTGACTGTAAGCTCTCCTGCTGAAGCCGGGGCCAGCGTAGCGGGGTGTGTAGATCCTCGGCCTGATATACCATCGAGCATGACTGCTGTGGTCTTGGTCCCTGCTCCGACTTTACCCCGACTGTTTATTTATGGAGCGCTTTCCTCAACAGAGGCAAACACAATTTTGAGTTAAATCTTGATTTGTGCCGTTGATAGACAGACTTTCATTAGATTGCACTTTTTTTTTTCTCCTTCTTCTTCCCCTCCAACAAAAAAAAGTTTTAACTTGATACCTTCCAGATGTGCTGACAAGTTTTCTCATTTTCAGTAAAAAGTGTAGTTAGAAAAAAAAAGGAGGAAATTTAAGTCGTGTTAATCTCAGAAAACAAGACGATTGTGATCCACTCGCATGTTGTTTCTCTTCCTCTCTTCTTCGAGTCCCCTGTAAAATCTGAGAAATAGATAGTTTCCTGAGCCTCATCTGTTTCTGAAGCTCCGACTCGCCCGAGGAAAGGAAACAGGTTTTCACAGAGGCTGTAGTGCTAACACCAGTCACTCTGTTCTACTTACTCTAAATAGAGTTTGCTTGACTCTCGCCCCTGCAGGGCTGAGGTAGGAAGGTAATGCAGCGGCAGAGGAAGCAGAGGCAGGGAGAGATAGCAAACTGGTCTTATTGATGACTCAGTTAATAAATATCGAGTCCCTTTCCTCGTGCATTACTGTAGAAACCTGGCGTGGCACTGTAGCGCAACTCGTCTTTGTTCCGAGGCTTCACAGTCACGCCGAAAGCACGGCCGCTGCGAGAATTCACGCCGTGAACGCCCATTGCACGCAAACAGGCACGTCTGACTGACTTTATGACAGCAGTGAATTAAACCTAATGTGTTTGGAAACTTAAAGGATCATTTCAATGTTTTTTTTTTTTTTAAATTCCTACTTTTACTCTTTCTTTACATTCTTTGCTGCTGGCGTGTGACCACAGTCGTTTAAGACGTGTTTTACAACCTACAGAAAATCTATTTGTCGCCATTCTTTTTATTTATTTTTATTTTTTTATTGTTGCGCCATATGAAACTGCATCCCAAGCTAGACAATGCATCGCTCTAAAGCAGCAGTTTTGGGTTTTTCTCGTAAAAATCTGTTTTGCTTTTTAATTTATTGTAACCAAATTGGATGCTTGGATATGTCATGCTCCGCTTGCTTGCTTAATCACCTGAAATGCACAGAAAGAAATCTTCTGGGGAGAAAAAAAAGCCTCAACATGGAACCAGAATAAGAACTTTGTCGCATCTGTTTGGCTTTTTTTTGGTGGTGTTTAGCTAGATTTGATATTTAGAATTAAAAAAAACCTCAAGAAAGTCAACTTTAAATTGTTTCGTTGAGGGAAAGTTTGAAGACAAAAAAAAATAAAAAAGCGAAACTCAAGAGTTTTAGTTGGTAAACAAAGCACAATGGTGTCGTTCCTCTTACAGCTCGTCATAACCTCTTCTGGGAGCTTTTTTGTGTTTTAAATTGAACTTTATGTCATCGTTAAATTAGTATTTCTTCTCCAGTTTTCCAGTGGTCCAAATTAGCAGCAAATTGCAGATCAGTGTGGAATACTTTATTAGTTAAGAGCATTATTTGTGCCAGCGGTGCCACGGTTATTTCTGCTGGGTGTTTTGTGTTGTGTTGGCGATCTGGGTCGAGGCTGGCGGGGGAATTCCTCGCTGCTTCGTTGGCTCCATTCCACCGTTGTGTCTCACAACAGCAGCGTGAGACCAGAAACTTGTTAACTACTCGATTATTTGGAATATCGCACCTTTATCTCGCTCTTTCTTTGACACGTTCACACTTTCTTTTTTTTCTCTCTTTTCGTGGCTCAGATTTCCTGCGAGGTTTTTCTCTTAATGGCTTAATTTAGAAGTTTACCACCTCGCCCGTCAAAAACGCACTTTGAGGGGCCCCGTTTAGAGACGAGCGAGAGATCCCGAAGTTTCGTCTGTCCTTTGAGAGTTCCTCCGGTTTGAAATAACATTCCTCTCTGTGGATTCTGCCCTCTGCTATTCCGCTGACTGTCTTTGCTCGTGAGCATTTATTCTAATAAGGGGACAGACAGCGGCTCTAATGATGTCTCAGCTGTAGTGCCGAAGAGACGGCCCTTCCCTTCCCCTTCCATTCTCCTCCTCTGCCCTTTCTTCTTCCCCATATCCCTCTTTGCCTTTCTTCAGCGTTGCCTCTCGGCTCTCTGCTGCCTCTCCCCGTCCCTTTCTCTGCCTCTCTCTCTCCCTCTCCCTCTCCCTCCCTCCCTCCTCTCTCTCTTCTTTCCAGGCACAGAAAATGAATGAATACAATTAGATATTTTCGGAGTCCCTCCACGGTTGACGGTGGAGAAAGACGCGCAGAGGTCAGGCACACTCTGAGAGGAGCTCAGGGAGAGGTCACACACATACGGCGAGGAATAACGAAGCAGAAAGTTGGCCTGTGAATGACAAACTAGTAACTAGGAGCTCTCCTTGAAGTGGAAGGTGTTATTAACATAAACAG